GCATTCTGTAAAGGCATAACATTATTTAATGTTACACAAGTGGCTAAAAACTGAAGTAATCCCAGCACTCCAGGAGGCTGAGGCAGGAGAATCTCAAGCTCAAACTCAGGCCAGGCAATTTTAGTCACTTACATTATACCTTGAAGGGAAAAGAAAAAAAAAACTTGTAAGTTAGGGTACAGGGAAGGGGTGTTGATACAAGTATTTAAAGTCCACACATAGTTTAAAACAGTAACTATCAGAAAAATGTAAAATGAAAGCGTAGAAGCATCTGCTTTCTTGTTGGGCGATCAGGGACATGGTGGGATGGGGCCGTGTGCCCACTCCTCACACGCTGAAGCCACCCAGTCTACGGCATCTTACGGCAGGGGCTGCAACAGAGTACCACACGGCGGGGATGCTTGCTGTGCACTCTCCACTGCCGAGCTACATCCAGCTGTTTTTCTTTGGCAGGAGTTAGGATTGAATCTGGGGCCTTCGTGCTGAGCCATCCCCGACACTTCTTTGAGGCAGGGTCTTGCTGAGACACTAAGCTGTCCAGGCTGGGCTTCAAATTACAATCCTCCTGCCTCAGCCTCCCAGAGTGCTAGGATTACACAAGTGCAGCACTGAGCTGTCTTTGCAACCTCCCTTAGACAGACAAGCTCTCCTTTGCCTTTCGTATTTTCTGCAGAAGTGACAGATGTGTCTTCTCACCTGAGGTTAAGCTCTTGTGTCTTGAATTGTGTGGTCACCATTCTGAGACTCACCCTGCTTTTGGGAACCTCATGACCAAAGTGAGGGTGCAAGGTAGAAGGGGTGGCATGGTACCTGCATGCATTCTGAGGGTCCTCTGAGAGGGCATCCACTTTAAACGCCCGCGGCTCAGGCACCTCTCAGACCTAATGGGTGTAACAGTAGTCAGGAAGTGAATGAGTGAGGCAGAGAGAGGGGAGAGGGAAGGGGAGAGAGTGGGGGGGAGAAGGGAGGGGGAGGGGAACGGGAAGGGGAAAGGGGGAGAGGGGAGGCTGGGAGGGAAGGAGAGAGATCTTCTCTACCAGTTTTGGACACATCACCCTCCACAGCTGCCAAAACTCTGTCCGTAACACCTCCTGCTTTGCTTCAACTCAGGACAGTGTCACCTCCTCATAACCGACTAAGTAAAAAATATGTTGTGCACCACAGCTGTCTTCAAGTGCCCAGGCCACTGGACTGGCTTACAGCTGCTGCCCACTAGCACCACCCTCCAACATCAGGCCTATTTACTTGCAGTAGAGTGACTGAACTCAGGGCCTTTGCACTACATTCCTGGCCTTTTTTCTTGAGACATGATCCCCTTATATGGCTCAGGCTGGCCTTTAACTAATATGGCCCAGGCTGGCCTCAGACTTGCAGTGATCCCTCTGCCTCAGCCTCACAAGTGCTGGGAGTATGTACCACCACGCCTGGCCAAAACCTATTTTACAATAAAGCATTCACCACTGTGTGTGTTTACATAAGGGGTCTGCTACAGTTTAGGCTGTCCTTGAACTTGCAGAGATCCCCTTGCCTCCGCCTCCCGCGTACTAGGGTTACAGGTGTGTACCACTATGCCTGGCCATGCACCTACGTGCTGACCGGGAGCTGCAGCTCACTGCCCCCTCAGCCGCCCAAGAGCGATGCAGTCACACAGCACTGAACAGGGCAAGTATCACAGTTCAAAATTCAAATTCTACAGTACTCCATAATACTGCTTTGGCCCATCACAAAGTCAAAACACTCCGAAGTCTAACCACTGCCAGGAGGGAGGAAGCCATCTGCAAGCACACACAGACTCTGTGCAAGGCCACAGAGCCACCCCGCACTGCCGGGGCCTTCTCCTTCGATGCTCCGGAGAGCCCCAAAGCAGCGGCTGTGTCGGGGGCGCTGGGGTGCAGCTCCAAGTGCAGCCACAAGGGCTCCTTTCCACAAGGAAAAGAACAACACAGCAGTGGTCTTCAGAGGCTGCCCCCAGCCTCTTTCCACCTCCCACCACTGTGACGCCAGGGGTCAGTCCGGGTAACAGGAGACCCACAGACTGTTTAAAATAACTGCATCCTTTAATGGCAGTAATACAATTACCAGATTAAGAGACACAGGAGAAAAGGCAGGAGAGGTTTCTGGAAGACAGATATGGAGTACAAAAGGGAGTGGGGTAGTCATGCGACAATCATTGTAAAAATACAGTACATTATATACATATTTGCACCATCGACTTTCGACTCTGAAATAGTATTTACACTTTTGTTACAATCCTGGTTAGAGAACAATTTTTCTTTAAAAGCTCGGCCTGATGGCAAAAGGGAATTCTGGATGAATTCATAGTTCCATGAGGTTCTGATGCTGAATATTCCAAGAGGAGCATTTCAGCTTCTATTTCATCCACAGATTTCAGTTTTAAAAAAGCATTTACTTTCTCAGAAGCCCGGGGTGGGGTGGGAGGGGGGACCAAAACACTGTCACACTGTGCGTCCTTCCTCATCTTACACAGGCCTGGGCTGCAGCCCTCTGCTCCACAGCCAGCTCTGGTGGCCGAGGACAAATTTGATGATTGCTTGGCAAAAATCACACAAAAGCCTGACCTCAGCCCACTGACCCCAGTGTGGTCTGGCCCTATAGGGCGCCTGGCCCAGTCCAGCCGTGCCCAACCTGGCTTTTAGCCTCAAATTAATGAGTTCTTTCTTCTGGGGTGGGGATGTCCCAGAAGCCTTGTGAGGCTCCCACCACGGGACAGGAAAGGGGATCCCTCTGCTGGGTGAGGTCTCACTGTGAACAGGAGACATGGCCTTCAGCGTGGCACCAGAGGCAGTGGGCCCAGAAAGAGGCACCCCCGAATAACCAGACCTTCTGGGGTCAGTGATGCCCAGGCCTTGTCAGGCTCCTCTGAGCCAGCTGCCCAGCCAGGTTCACTGGTCAGGCCTCCCCAAGACCCCTGGAACAAGGCCAGTCCTCAGGCAGGGTGGGACACTTAGGGGAAAAGAGGCTGCCGTGACATCTCTGGTCTGTCCTTGCCCAGCTGAACCTTCAGTCCTCTCTGTCCCCAGTGAGTCCTGGCCCCCCTTCCTTCTAGGAAGTGCATAAAACCCTAAACCATGATGTCTGCTGGCTGGGAGAGGAAACCAAACACCAGTACCTCCTTCCCTACAGACACTGTGGTTTAAGGAACAAAGAAAGCAGAGTGCACAAACACTGTGCCAAAGGGCCACCTGGGGCTCCCTAGGGGGAGGGAGCCTGCAGAACGGCCAGCCACGGATCCTTGAGCTGTCGCCAGGGCAGAGGCTGGCAGTGCAGGCACACAGGGTACCCTAGCCTCTGAGAGCCAGGCCAGACCCCGGCATGCAGGGCGGGACGGTAATACTGACAGAACACGTGCTCCCAGGCAGCTCTGCCCCCATCAGCCCCCTTCCTGCCCCGGCTCCTGTACAGGCTAAAGGGCCCTGGTTTGAGGAAGAGCTGGGGCTGGGGCTAGGAACAAAGGGGCGCAAATGGTAATTCAGAAATGAGAGTGGGCCCAGGGAGTGCCCACCAGGGTGCCCCTGAGGATTCCCGGCCACCTCCTCCAATACCTTTTCATTTTCCCTGGCTGAAGCAGTGGGCACAGGATTCATACTGAAGAGCCAGGGCTTCTCAGATGCCCCTCGAGGATGGGTTCCCGTCTCCTTGCCCAGCAGGGCGGGGTGAGTGACCTTCAGTGCCTTCTCAGACACTCACATTCCCTTTGTCCTGAGGGGAGCCCCAAGCTTTGCCCGGAGACAGTCCCCATTTGCACCCAGGGAGGCGCAGGGTCTGGAGCACCCCCACTGGCTCAGGCTCGGTAGCCCTGCAGCACAGACGGGAACCCATCCAAGATGGTTATGTACAATTTATGTCTCAAAGGAAATACTACTTGAGGGGGAAAAAGAAAAAAGAGGAAAAAGAAAAGAAAGAACACCCATCTCCCCCAATCCCAACTTCAATTGCTGCCCTTAAATATCACCTTGGAAAAGGAAGGGTGGCAGGAGCGCTGGTTCTGGCTAGCACTACTGGCAAAAGGGGGAGGCGGTGGGGTCAAAGCCTTTAAAAACATCTTTCAGGGACCCTGCGTCCTGCTCGCCCTCACGGGCTGGGCTGTTGCCAGCAAACGGGCTTCCTGAGCCTGTCTTGGGTGTTGGCTTCGCAGTCCCAAAAAGCGCGGGCACAGGCAGGTTGTGCACGCCTGGCTGGGGTGGGGCACTTTCTGCAGGTGCAGCAACTGTGGCTGTGGTGGAGGCGGAAGCTACCTTAGGCCGGGGCCGGTTGTAGCTGTTGTATCTGTCCGTGGCTGCGGCAGAGGTCCCATCTGTGCCAGCTTTCCCTGCTTCTGGTTGCTCCAACGCAGACTTGCGGACAAAAGGGGGCTCCTTGGTCTTAGAGGCCGAGCCCTTGCCATTGCCCTCAGGCCCCTTGGGCTGGGCACCTGAATCAGTAGCTGGCTCCGCTTTGCTGCCTGCGTTGGGAGTCCTCGGGTCATAGAGGCTGATGCCACTCAGCACACTGCTCTGCCCACTGCTGCTGCCCTGGCCCAGCCCACCGGCAGCCAGCACTCTGGGGTCATAGGGAGCTGTGGCTGGGGGGGAGGACCCTCCGCCAGGGCTGGAAGATGGAGGAGACCCTTCAGGGGGGCTGGGCTTGGCAGCCCGTGAGGAGGCTGCTGAGTCTGCTGGTTTCTGCAGTCGAGGGTCAGCAGGGGCCTTCCGTACCCTGGGGTCACTGGGCTTGTCACTTGGACTGGCGGCTGCAGAGGAACCTGGAACATTAACAGTCTTGAGGATGCGAGAGAGGAGTTCAAAGTCGGGTAGGTGAGAGCCAGAGGCGCTGGGGTCTGTGGAGGTGCCTTGGCGCTGGCGGGCACCAGGGGGTCCTACAGGGTTGGAGCGGTGCAGCCTGGGGTCCAGAGCAGGCAAAGACTGCAGGGCAGCAGGTACAGGGGGCACCATGTCTTGTTTGGGGACGGGCAGAGGAATCAGGTCCTCAGGGTTCCAGAGCACGGTGCGAGCAAAGCTGGGCTTGCTCAAGGTGACATCCTTCTTGATGTGGCTGAACTGCTGCAGCTGCGACCTGGGGTCCCGCAGAGGATGCCCAGGCAGGGGGTCCAGGGGAATGTTCACGGCCTTCTCCCGCAGGGCCCGCTCACCCTCCTCCTCTTCCTGAGGTGGAGCCCCAGAGCCCTTGGAGCTGCTGGGGCCAGCAGGGCTGCAGTGAAGACCCTCAGGCTTTGAGGATGGCAGAGATCGAGCCAGCCGGGGATCAGAGGGCCCAGTATCTCCTGGGCCTGACCCACTGGAAGCCTCAGCATGGCGGGACAGTCTGGGGTCCCGGCTGAGGCGGGGGTCGGCCAGCCGGCCTCCAGTGGCATGCACCTTCTGGAGGCGGGGATCCCCCAGCCCACTGCTGCTCAGCTCTCCAACTGAAGCTGGGGGGCGGCTAGATGTCTGTTGCCTCAATGTCTTGAGGATGGAGGTGACGCTGCTCCCACCTTCGTCCTCATCACTTGAGTACCAGTTTCCGGTATCACCTGAGAAAGCAGAGGGGCAGGGAGGGGTGAGTGGTCACCATGTCCACCCCAAGTCCTCTGGACCCCCAGGAAGTCCACAGGGCCAATGCTGCTCTGCTCTCGGTACACAGAACTTCAGGGTCCCTTCTCAAGGGGTGCCCTTGGGGGATAGGAGGAGATCCTGGGGGCCTAGGCACCCCGCTTGGGGCCTGGCAGGCGGGGCTGCCACCTGTGGAGCTTTCCACTGTGCTGGCACTAGACTGAGTGCTATATTTAAACAGCACATCAGCTACCCAGGAGGTCAGGTCACTCATATGCCCATCAGACAGAGCACCAACAGTGAACTGGGACACCTAGCCCGGGCTCCATGGCCTCCCACCTGCAGGGCTAGGAGGTGCTGGCAGCCACTGCTTTCACACCTTTGTCCTCATGTCCCTTACAATGCTACACTGTCTCCTAGAAGGACACAGGCCCAAGGCCACAGGATCTGGTACAAGCAAAGCCTTGGCAGAGGAACCTAAGCCACCTGGGCAAGGGCCGCCTAGCCCACCCCTCCTCCCTACTGATTCCCAGGCCCCCATCTCTGCTCCCAGATACCATTTGCACACTTCTCCCAAGATGGGTATCACTAGGCCAACCACCTGGCTATGTGACCACAGGGACTTGAGTGACTAGCCCTTCTCTCTCGGCTCCAGCAGAGTATACTCCACAGACAGGAGGGAGAGGCCCCAAGCCTCCTTTGGAAGGTGTGGGCAGCCTATCCTTCCAGCCAGCGTCTCTGGCAGGAACCAGCCCACCACCCTCAATGGGATCAGGTCTCCCCTGAGTTCAAGACATGGAAGGCCATTCCTGGCCTCTGGTTTCCTCAGAGACACACAATAGCAATAGCCCAGCCTGATCTTATGACCCTGACAGTGGTCCTCCCTAGGTGGAAGCTTCTACCCACCACGTCCCCACCAAGCCCCACGCAGAACCTGGGGCTGAGCCCCGCCCTGTGAGACACATGCCTTCCTCATTCTCCCGGTCCTGCTTGCTGCTCTCAGCCAGCCTCCTCGCTCTCTCCTCCTCCTCTTGCTGCTTCTGCTGGATCCTCAGGTACAGGGCCCTCTGGGTTGAGGGCAGGAAGTCGGGGACACCAGCACCCGGCTTCGGCCGGCCTGGGGGCCCTCCCTCAGAGAAGCTGTCTGGCTCCAGAGGGTGCTCGGGGAAGAGGGGCTCCCCAGGCTGCCCCGCCAGCTCTTCATAGTGCCCGTAGTCCTCTGCAGCAGGGAAGAACCGAGGGCTCAGGTCGGGGAGGGTCTCACAGCACCAACTCTACCCCCGGCCCTTTCCTGGAGAAGCCACCTCCAGGGTGCTGAGTGTGGACATCAGCTGTCTGTGACGCCCTCCCATGCCTGGTGCCGACAAGAACCCAAGCGTGGGGGGCAGGCCACAGGACATTCCCATCTACAAGGGGAGGATATGGCAACACAGACCAGCACTCACAGACAGAAACAGGACAAACAAATGCTCCCTGGACATGTGTGAAGGTGGGAGAAGGCTCTATGAGGAGGAACAGAAGACTATCCTTCTGTTCCTTCCAGGGACAGCAGCTAGAAGGCTTTGGGGCAGCTTTTGCTCTCCCCACTTGCTCCTAACTCACACTGTCTATGCTGCACACTAGTTTGGTTTCATGTTTCTCTGAGATAAAGTAACGAAAAGCTCCACTAACTCTCACAGTGAGCTCACAGTATCAGCTCAATCATGTCTGGGGGCGCGGGGGAGAGGGGAAGAATCCAACCAGGAAAGCAGAATGAAAACTCCACAGCAATCCAGTGGCTGGTGGGCGGCTCCTCTGGCTCCCCTGTGCCAGCCCTAAACTCCCCTCCCAGCACTGCTCCACCCAGGAGCCGGAGGCTGCAGGGGAAGAGTCACAGCCACCCAGTGCGGAGCTCAGGACACAGGTGGTGTACACACACGTGAGCAAAGAGCAGCCCGACGACTGAGGCCAGAGCGCCGAGGCAGTGCTGCCACCTCTACCCTGCCTGGACAACTGAGGACTGGAAATGTGACCAGTGTGACGGAGAAATTAATACTACTAAGAATTGCAAAGTTGGCCAATATTTCATGTATAAGGCTACGTATGAAGCAAAAAACGAGAGCACTGCTACTGCTAGCTGTGTGCGCTTGACTGTGTACATGAGATGCAGGTGAGGAGCCTGCTCCCTGCCATACCTGCTGGGGCAGGCGGTGACAGCACAGCCGGGGGTGAGTGGCGCTCAGGAACACAGCTGTGTTACATTTCACCTCATTTGGGTTTTCTTTAGAGACAGGGTCTCACTATGCAGTTCGGGCTGGCCTTGAGCTCACTTTGTAGCCCAGGCTGGTCTCAAACTCACAAACTTGAGTGATCCTCCTGCTTCAGCCTCCTGAGTGCTGGGATTATAGGCGTGGTGTGTACCACCATGCTCGGCTTAGTTACTGTTATAGGGCGCCTGACCCTCAGTCTCCTTTCCAGCAGAGCCTTCCCCACACACGTCTGAACACACTGCATAGGACTATGGGTGCCCTGCACCCTCTGTTTTCTCACCACCCATAAGCTGAAGTCACTCACTTTCCCATCTCTATGCTATAGGTCTCCCTGATGGCCTGTGAGCACCCTTCAGAATCTCCAGGTGGCCAAGGCAGAAGGGCCGCTTCCAAGCCACCTGCTCCACAGGTCTGGCCCATTAGGCAACTGCCTCCAACCCCCCTCTGCACCATCCGCCCAGCACAGCTGGGATCCTGTCCATGAACCCTGGCCCTGCCATTATTCCTGCTCACTTCTGCTGTGGGTCACTCCACAGTAGTCCAGACATACTCCTAATTCCTATCCATAGCCTTCATCTACTGCCAACGCTTTGAACAGGCACAGGGCCACTGCTGCCACAGCCAACACAGTCCTTTTCTTTCTTTCTTTTTTTTTTTTTGGGTGGTACCAGCGATGAAACTCAGTATCTTGCACTTGCCAGGCAAGCGCTTACTCCATTGAGCTATCTCTCCGGCCCCAGAGTGCTCATAATATGGAGCCTGCCTTTGCAGGCTGGGTCCATCTGACAAGCTGCTGCCAGACACAGAGCTCAGCCCCGCAGCCTCCTCTGTGCCCACCCAGCCCCTTCTGCCTCCTGGAAAAGCAGGCCTCTGCTGACTGTCCCTGCCAACGCCCTGAGGCTCCAATTGGCACCCCCCACATTCCTCTGTGTTCTAACAACAGTCAGGGCTGAAACGAACAGATTCACCTCTTCACAGCCTCCTCCTGTCACTTAACACAGCCGAGGCCAGGCCTGGAAGCCCACCCTGAGCCTCGGACGCTGCAAGCACTTTGTTCTGAGAGCGCTCACTGCCGTGCACGTCATCTAGCCTCACTGACTGTGGCCCCAGGATTTTGCCAACACAGAAGGAAAATGCCATCATGGGATAAGACGAACAAGGTTACAGGGCAGCACTGAAGCTCCAAAACCAGAACTATCTTAAAAGAATTTTAGCCAAGACACTAATTATTGATAGGGGTCATGCTCCCATTTCTAAGCACACTGAATAAATTCTTTTTTTTTTTTTTTTTTTTTTTGGTGGAACCAGAGATTGAACTCAGGCCCTTGCCTGAGCGCTTATTCTACTGAGCTATCTCTCTGGCCCAATAAATTCTTAAAAACCAAATAAAATGCCAGGCATGGTACACATGACTACCAGTGCCAGATACTCGGGAGGCTGAGGCAGGAGGTCTGCCAAGTATGCTTAGGTCAGCCTAAGCAATTTAGCAAAAACCTGCCCCAAAATAAAATAAAGGGCCAGGTTGTGACCAAGTGTAGTGATTGCCCAGCATGTGTGAGGCCCCGAGTTCCATCTCCAGTACCACAAAGAAACAAGTAAAATACGCCATATTAACAACATAAAACTCCTTTTGATCTCAACAAATGAGGCTAAAGTCACAAGAAATACTAGATTAATAAAATAGGACAAAGATAGGAACTGAAGTCACACTTTTTTTTTTTTTTTTTGGTGGAAATGGGGATTGAACTCAGGCCCTATTCTACTGAGCTATTTCCTCAGCCCCATGAGTCTCACCTTTAAAGAGACTTGGAGTAAGGAAGAAAACCTGCACCTTCACTTCCTTTCATGCTGCTGAACCAAGCCCCCAGCATGTCCCACAGAAGCCCCTGACCCACGTACCTGCATCCCCAATGAGGCCTGGTTCCATCTCTATGCCCTCCTGTTGCTGGTAGAAGTTTTCATAGAAGTTCTGGGCTGGTGGGATGGGGGGCATCATTCCAGAATGTGGGGAGTCTCCAGGACCATAGGGCATCATGGGAGGCCCTCCAGGACCCACAGGGGGGCCAGGGTTCATGCCAGGGCCCATTGGCATATCAGGGTGCATGTCTGGATGCATATCAGGGTGCATGTCTGGGTGCATGTCCGGATGCATGTCAGGATGCATGGGGCCTCCCATTGGCCCTGGGGGTCCCATGTTGGGTCCAGGACCCATTGGCCCTGGGGGTCCACCAGGTCCAGGGAACCTAGAAGAGGAAACAATGCCTGTGAAAACTGTTGCTGAGAAGTGGTGGCACCCACCCCAGGTAGAGAGTGCCAATTAGCAGGTCCCATGGGTCCCAGGCAGGAACTCCAACACGGAATCCACTGGGGCCCAAGCCTGAGGCTCCACGTGGCTGGAGCACTCACCTCACACCCAGCTTCTCAGCCAGCTGTCCTGTGGGCCGTACAACAATCTCAAACAGGGAGGGGATCTTCTTGTTGTACATGTCCTGCTGCTGCTGTAGCTGCTGCGGGGACAGTGGCTCATGCACTGGCATGGACATCTGAGGGGGCCCAGCAGGAGGGGGTGGGGGCGGGGGTGGGGGTGGGGGACCACCCTGGATGGGCCTGCCGTTGGGAGAGGTGGGGGCCTGGGGCCCAGGGGGACGAGGTGGGGTGGGCAGGAGGCCCACACCAGGGGGTGGTTTGGGCAGGGGATTGATGCCCTGCTTCTTCAGTTCCTCTACTTCCTTCTCATCTTCAGCACCTGCTTCTGCATCATCAGCCAACATCTGTACCGGGTAAGAAAGGAACCACTCAGAGCTCAATTTCTAAGGAAAATCCTAAAACATAAGCATCCTGAGGCTCTTACAGCACAGAGCCAATGACCACGGTTCCCTTGCCCTGCCTTTTCTGGCAGCATTACGGATGAACCTAACCCTGGCTCTCAAGCAACACAGCAAGAGCTCTGCCATGAAACTATACCCCCAGCCCCACAAATCCTTTTTGTAACAAAAATCACTGAGGCTGAGGCAAATCTGAGGTCAGTGTGAGCTACACAAGTCAGTATCTCAAAAACTGCTGGCTGTGGTGGCACATGCCTGCAAATCTCAGCACTGGGGGGCTGAGGCAAAAGGATCTTCCACAGTACTTGGTAGGCTAAAGCAGATCACTCCAAGTTCAAGGCCAGTTTAGGCTACATACCGAGGTTTTTTGTTTTGTTTTTTTTTTTTTTTTTCGGAACCAGAGATCGAACTCAGGATCTTGCACTTGCCAGGCAGGTGCTTACGTCACTGAGCTATATCCCCAGCCTCAAGAGCTGGGATTATAGGCATGTGCCACCACACCCAGACAAGTTTAAGGCCAGCCTTAACTACATAGACACCCTGGCTCCAAATTTTAAAAAAACTACCACAAACAAAATTCCTCATCAGAAGGGCCAGCGATAGCTCAGCAAAACTAAGCACCTACTTAGGGCAAGTGCAGGGACCGGAGTTCAATCCCTAGCGCCACACACCACACCCTCAGGTGCACTGAGCCGGCTATAAGAGACCAGGCATGGTGCGTATGCCTGTTAATCCCCAGCACTGGGAGGCTGAAAACAGGATCACTACAAGTCTGAGCTGCTGAGACCCTGTACCAAATACATAAAAAAAGAAAAAAAAAAAAATGCTTATCAGATGCAACTCTGTGGCTGATCTCTGGGATCAGAAAGCAGGGAGAACCATTCCTATCCTGTGGCAAAATCCAATTCACATGTACCATTTTAACTGCTTTACAGTGAACAATTCAGGGTAATTAACATATTCACAGAGATGAGCAACTTCTACCTCTTTCCAGTTAGAGTTTTTGTAGTGTTTTCAACATCCCCAAGGAGATGCTGTCCAGTAGACAGTCACTTCCTGCCCCTCCTCCTCAGCCCCTGGCAACTATTCACCTACTTTCTATGGATTGATCTACTTGGGAAACCTCTAAGCAGAAGAACCATGTCATAGTCCCTTTCATGACATGATTCTTTTACTTCGCTAGTTTCATTGTGTTTTACCATCTGCTGGTCTGTCTTTCTTGTTTCCTTTCTTTTTTAGTGCACTGTTGGAGATGAACCCAGGGCCTCACGTATGCGAGGCAAGCACTTGGCCCTGAGCTCATACCCCAGCCCTATTTCTTTTGCAGCAGCTGTATCTGCCTAGACAAAGCCCTCCCAATTCACCTGCAGTAAAACCCCAACTGCTAACCATGACTCAGCACAAGGGACTGCTGAGCCACACCCAGGGGCTCCTTCTCCTTCCGAGACTGGCCCCTGTAGCCCAAACACCCAGCCCTATCTCAGTGCAAAGATAGTCACAGTCTTCCTCCAGGACTCAGTTCAGCCCAGACTACACCTCAGGCTTCTAGTCTCCCCTCTATTCTTGGGTGGTTTCTGGTCCATTTACTGGGAGTCTCAAATGTCAACATGGAGTACCAGTTCCCATCTCCTGTGTTCTCTACCTAGACACTGCTGAGCTGCCTCAAAGTACTGCTCACACCTGAGGAAACCATGTAGTTGGCCATTTCCTTATTGGCTCTTGGCTTGTCCATCCTGTCTATCCCAGGAGGGTGGGGACTACCGCCTTTCCTGCTGCATTCCCAGCTGCCACCACAGATATGACATGGAGATGGCTCAGTAGAATAAGCACTTCCCTGGCAAGCGCAAAGCCCTGAGTTCAATCCTTGGTTCCGCAAAAAAAAAAAAAAAAAAAAACCAACAAAACCAGATATGACGTGGAAGATGGGGATCCCCAATGAGGTATTGAGAAACATCCATTTCTACACTGGGACACAGCAACAGAGGCCCTATGCGGAATGGAACACTGCGGCCTGAGCACCCTCTACACGCTGCCCACTGTCTTGGTCTTGGTCCTGGTCCTGGTCCTGGCCTCCTCAAATTTCTCAGCATACTCTGCAGACCACAAAGCAAAGAAAAATTAAAGGTCTCAATCATGGCCATATCACTGATCTCTAAATCTTTTCAACAGACCTTTAATGCTTTCAAGTCAAAGGTCAAAATTAATAAAGTTATATCCTATTAAACAGGAACAGGGGCTGGGGAGGTAGCTCAGTAGAATAAGCACTTGCCTGGCAAGCACAAGGGCCTAAATTCAATCCCTGGTTCCGCAAATAAATAAATAAATAAATAAAAAACAGGAACCAAGGGCTAGCCAAATAGCTCAGCAGATTAACGTGCCTGCAAGCAGGCACTGGGGTTGGGTGTTCAATACCTGGGCCTGCCATGCCGGCTCCGCCCTTGGGGCACACTGAGACACAATCGAGACTGGGCATGGTGGCACCAGCCTGTAATCCCAGCTCTTTGGAGGCTGTAAACAAGTGGATAACTACGAGTCTGATCTAGTAGTGAGACCTTGAATATACCCTGTAAACCCCTCCCTAAAATACAGGGGTGGGGGGAAGAAGCTTACTTCAGCCTGGCTCCCTTTCTACTCTCCTTCCACAAGTCCCTACAGAGCCTGGCCCTGGCTGGACCATGCACCCTTCACCTCCCTGGCCTCCATCCCCATCCCTATTCCCTCCCTGGGACAGCTGGCACTGCTCTTATTTCCAGAGCTGCCCTGACCCCAGACAGTTCGCTCCTTCAAGGCCACAGAACACACGCTGCATCACCACTCATCAGATGTGAAAACCCAACCACCACCTCTGTCTCCATCAGACTGTTGGCTCTGGGGACAGACACAGCCCCTGGGCAGCTCAAACATAGCGGTCATGCCCAGGAGGCACCTGAGGGACCCCTTGGTCAAAGTGACTGGAGTGACATGAAGGCAGCCTGAAGCATCTCAGCTGTACTTCTGCCACCTGTCTGTGCTGACTAGAGCTCCCCACTTCTGGACCTCAGCTACACGCAAGCCTCCTGGCCCACAGCCCACATGACATCCAGGAGGGATGCTGCTCCAGACACAGCTGGGCTCCCTGCACCCTGCACTGATCACACCTGAGCCCAGGGCACAGACATGTCAATCACCTAAGAGAAAATAGGCAGAAAAACCGAACCCAAACTACCGACTGGGCTTTCCAGCACAGACATGTGGCAGGGGACATCAGTCCCCAGGCTCTTTCCGGCCTTGCCACTGCAGGGCCACTGTTCCAGGCACATCTTATCACATAGGACCAACAGCACCCTGCTGAGTCTGAAGCGGCCCTAATCAACCCTAACAAGGGCCACACTTGCACAAATGCAAAGCATAAGGGCCAGCAAGATAGCTCAGCAGATTAAGTGCCTCCTCAGGAAAGTGTAGGGACTGGGTTCAATTCCCGGCAACACAGGAGGTGCTGGCCCCGCCCCCAGGGGCGGGCCACAGAGACCAAGCATGATGGCACACGCCTGTTATCCCCAGCACTGGGAAAGCTGTGAAACAGAAGGATCACTACAAGTCTGAGGTGCATAGTGAGACCCTGTACCAAATACATAAGGCAACAACCCAAATGCAAAACATATGGCCCCGGCTTTGCCCGGTGAATGAGCTCAAGGCTGTTAGTTGGTCACAAGCTCTTAAACTGTTGTCCCCAAGTGGTAACAACACAAATGCTCTCCAACTAATGCTTGGCTAAACAAACTCAGCCAGCCACACAGTGAAGAAAGGCTCGGCAACCAACAGCAATGAAGCTGAACTGGGTGGATCGTGAATGCATCATTCCCAGTCTGAGAAGCCACAGTCCCATCCCAGACACACAGGGCAATGTACCACACTTTTCCCATTATGATGCTCCTTCCCTATATTTGCAGTGTGCGATGGTGACAGTAAATTTACATGTTGGTTAAGTCAGAGAACTACAGACAACACAGGAAAATTTTCTGGATCCCAGCTATAACTCAAAACCTGACTGTGAAACACGAGACACATAAAAGAAAAATGGAAAAAACAAACCTATCTGTAACTGAAGTAGAAAAGGTGAAGAATCAAGGTTTACATACCTTATTCTCAAATGCTCAAGAGAAACACAGTGCACACATATATATCTACATCAAAGCCAGAGTGGATAATAAAGGAAACACAACGAAGTTTCACTTGCACATGAACCCAGGTGGAGGGTTCCACTGGGTTATTTTTACCACTTGCTCCCAAGTAAGCCTCATCACCAACCCCCAACATAGGCAAGTTTCCAAACAAAGACTGGAAGGCAGGACACTCCTATTTCTCAACAGATGGAAATGGCACCAAGTGGTTGGATAAAACAAAGAGGGATGGGGTGGGGAGGGTAGAACAGCAGATGTGAAGCCAGGTGTGCAAGCACGCACCTGCAGTCCCAGCACTTCGGGAAACCAGGGGGCAGAAGATTCAAAGTTTGACCCCAGCCTGGAAAAACTCAATGATATCGTGTCTCAAAACAAAACCAAAAAAAAAAAAAAACAAAAAAACAAAAAAACAACAACAGTAAGCTGAGAAGATAGCTCAGTGGCATAAGCGCCTGCCTGGCAAGCACAAGGTCCCAAGTTCGATCCCCAGTGCCACAAAAACACAAAAGCAAAACAAACAAAACACAAAAAAACAAACCAACCAACCAAAAAAAAGAAAAAGAAAGAAAGCTAAAGATTTAGCTCAGTGTAAAGGCTTGGGGTTCAATCCACAACACTGCTAAAATGAGGGGAGGGGAGGCCTACCACCATGCACATAAAAGAAAAATGGAAAAAAAAAAAAAAACCTACCTGTAACAGAAGTAGAAGGGGAGGAGAGGGAGGGGAAGGAGAAAGGAGGAAGGGGAAGAGGGGGAGGGGGGAGGACAGAGGACAGGAGAGGACCAGACATTTTGGGAGGGTGGCTGGGCCTCATCCTGAGTGGCACCACAACTTAAACTACAGACTGCCAGGGGAGCCCCAAGATTTCCTCAGATTCAGAGAGGCCCTTCTAAGAAGGGTGGTGTACATTTTACTCCCTCACCATCCCAATCCTAGCATGCTTTCTCCTGTTTTGCCAGTCTTTAAACCTATGGATTTCAGATGAGGACAACAGTGACACCTTAAAGGTATGCTGCCAGGAGATGAAATATGCCACTTTGTTGGTAAGGGCCTCTGGCGTGGTTCTGCCCAACACGGAGGCATAAGCCACCTGCAGCCAGCAATTGCTGCAACAGGGCTGATGCAAATATAGGCCAATGAACAGAAGACCCAACTCTCCACAGCTGGGAATGCAGCTTGCCTAGCATGCTCGAGCCGCTGGGTTCAATTCCTAGTGCCATAAAAAAGAAAATTAAAAATCTGTATTTTCTTCGTTATTCACTGATTGGTAACATAGTATCTGAGCACTACATTGCCATAAAGGAAGATAAGCTTGAGACACTTCTAGCTACATGCCCATACCTTGAGACCTTAATCTTAAGTAAAATAATCAGGCACACATTTAAATAACATATTGTTCTCAGGTGTGAAAAAACAAAGTGTAAATAAGAACAAAATGTAAAACAGATAATGGAAGTTGGGAAGAAAATGTTCAAATGAGAAGTACAAGCAGGGGGAGGAAGAGACAAGAAAAAAATAGAAAACAGAAACAAAGCTTTTGTAAATAAGGAGAAGAGAGCTGGTGAGATGGCTCAGTGGTCTGAAGCACCTACTTAGAACAAGCTTAGCAAAGCACAGAGACCGCGGTTGGATCCCCCAGCACCACATGCCAGCCAGCCGCGCCCCCTGGTGGGCTGAGCTGGCTACACACACACACACACACACACACACACACACACACGCACACAAATAAGTAAAATAAATAAATTTAAAAAAATAAATGAGAAGAGGGGTTGAAGAGAAGGGAGGACAGTGGGGGAAAAAACTAAGATACATCATGTACAAGTACTAACTCCCGCTAATGAATGTTATCCTTATGTATACCTAAAATGTACCAGTAAAAAAGAAAATACTGGGGCCGGGGAGACAGCTCAGTAGAAAAAGCGCTTGCCTACCAAGCACAAAGACCTGAGTTCAATCCCTGGTTCAGGAAAAAAAAGAAAGAAAATACTGTGGTGCAAGGGTTGGCCACCTGTGGGACTAGTCAAACTCCTGTTTATT